TATTAATAATCTTGTATTCAATTCTTCCTTCAAAGTCTGTTGTACAGAAAACGTGCTATGTCGATCATATAGTAAAAATCAGTAAACGAAATCTTGTCTGACTGTTATGTTTTTAAAAATTCATAGTAACGCGAATTTAATTATAATTCGTTGAAACGACTGTATAAAAATTTCACAATGTTGCTCAGACATTTGTAGGGAACTAAAACGAAATGCAAAGCGTTTAAAATCTTTATTATTATTGAACCGGGCTAGAGTTTCTGTTCGTAATTAGTGACGTTACTCGGCTAAGAAATTTATCAGCTTAGCCGGCCAAGGAATTTTTAAACAGCTTAGCCGGTAGAAAACCTTAGCCGACTAAGAACTTAAATAGACCCCAGTTGATGAAAAAACTTTTCAGATGGTGCTAAGCTTGCCGGTATTATTATTGCTACTACTATCGTTATTATTGCTATAATTAATATTAACTATTATTTATTATTATTAGTATAATACCTCGCCTTTAATATTTCGAATAAGGTTTATTCAAATTATTTGTTTTATTCGTTATGAAGTTGAGTATTCGAATTACATTGAAAGTTTATTCGAATAAAAAGAATAATTCGAATTAAATAAGAATTTACATTACGAATAGAAACTCCAACTATGACTTTTATCCTGCTACAATGTATTGTATTTTTGTTTTTGAGCAAAAATTTTTTTTTGTCATTCTAAGTAATGCAGGTGGACCAATCTCAACTAAATGTCTATGCCACTGAATTCTACACTAAAATTCCAGACGTAAAAATAAATGCCAAGAGAAATTTTTTTTAGCCAGCTAGCGTCACTATTCGTGATACAAACGAATAGTTCGAATAGTTCGGATTAATCGAGCTGTATTACTACTGTAGATAAAAATTCGGACATCGCTCCTTACGGTTTTTGTAAAGACTGTTTTTCGCTTGGCCGATTAAATTGGACCAATACGTACAAAAATGCATTATAAGGGGTGCTCGCAATAAAGTAGGGCCATTTATTTTTTGATTATAGGTCAGGAGTGTCTAGTAAATAAATTATGTATTTTTTTTTCCTATTAAAACAAACAAGTATATCAATACTCTCTCAAATGAATAATAATAAATAAACAAACAAAATGGAATAAATGGAAAATAAATTTTTGTATATTTTTTATGCAATTTGATCATTGCCTGTTCCTTCATCTAATTTTTTTCGTAGTAACTCATCCCAATTATCTCTCCTCAACCTTGACTGCTCCTTTTCCACTTCCAACTTTTCCTTCTCTTTCTTCAACTCATTTCTCTGTTCTTCTGGCCTCTTCCTCTCTTCATTATCTAATACTCCTTCATCAACATCTCCCCTAACTTGTCTAATCTCTCCTACTTTTTTCCCTCCTCCCACTTCTTCAACTTCTCCTTCACCTCTCTATATTCATTTTCTGCTTTTTTTGATTGTTGTTTAATTTCTTCAATTGTCAAATTTTTACTGATTTAGAGTTTCTTATGCATAATTTTGACCAATGATAAATTAATGAGCACATGACTTCCATGTTGCGTAAATTTTCTAAGGAACTTGCTCTATTTAATGCTACCCTTCAGCATTTTCATTGATAGAGATGGTCACATGAGGTAAGGACCTTGTGTCTTATGAACAGTCAATGAGAAAGCGTTTTGGAGTGGAAATTGTTTTCTAAAGGCTCTACTTTCATTAATTCCAAAATGGCTTGTTTATCAAAGAATTGATTTCTTATATTCAAGGGATGTGTGCATACTTTTCTTTTAATTTTATAGATAAATAACTGTGTGGCAGTATACAAAAATCCATTTTGTTAAATAAATAAACAAACTTTTATTAATTGCTAATTAGTAAAAATATTAACTTCACATGTTATTTATACATTATGTGTATTATTATTATTATTATTGCAATTAATTATGTATTATGTATACATAAACACACATACAGTGTGTCTCAAAAAAAAGGGCGTGCACAAAAAATTGCATATCTTAGCAATTATGCAAGATAAACAAATAAAATTAGGTTCATTTAAAAGCCTATCAAATACTTTATTAAATAAAAAATAATAATAAGAAATTCTATCTCTGTTTCATAGACATAATAATATTTTTAATTATTTCCTGTAGAATTTTCTCCCACTCCTCAACCATAAATCTCTTCAATCCGTCAACATTCTTTGGCATTCTTTTTTCAACATTATTTTTCATGATATACCACATGTTCTCAATGGGATTAAGGTCAGGACTATTGGATGGCCAGTCTATTGTACGAATTCTGTTTTCATAAAAGTTTTTGCAACGCATGATGTGTGCTTTGGATCATTATCCTGTTGTAAATGCCAGTTTCTACCATATAATCTTTGTGCAGCAGGTAAAAGCTGGGTTTCCAATATGTTAACATAATAAGGTCCATCCATCTCAAAATTTTCAAAATGAATTTACATTGTGCGCGCCCTTTTTTTTGAAACACACTGTAAAAGCTTGTAAATAATAAGTGTAATGTTGAAAATACAAAGAAAAAATATTTTTTACAACCGATGGTATTTTTTTGAAGCTTTAGGAAGATACTTTGAAAAAATTTATATCAAAAGAAAGCTGAAGATTTTTTCTTACAAGTATGAAAATTTTAACTAGGGTTAATTTGTGAATTCTTGGTGTACAATATGTACGTGTTTCACGTTTTATTTTTATTTACTAATACTAATAAACACTATAGGGTGACAGTTTTGAAATTGACAAATCTATATTACATTGAGTTGTTCCCCCATACCTCTAGGTAATACCAATGTTCACTTTGTCTGGTTGCAGCATATTCCATATACGTAAAAAAATTTTATTATAGGTTATTTTATTTCAAAAAACATCGTAAACCTTTTTGTCACTACAACAATAACAGAAAGTTTGAATTAGTGTTTTGATGAATTAGATGTATAGAAATACATAATAATGACGTTAAAATTTACTATATAGTAATGATCGCGTAATAATAAAATTATCCAATCAATTTCTTGTGCGCCAGCCAATCATAGATACGCTTCGCAACCTCAAACTCCTTCCAAATATAGTTATTGAATTTTAAGATTTTTTTTTAATTAGTGTAACAACCATAGATTAAAAAAATTATATTTCCTTTCAGAAAAAAACTCCCAATGTCCAATATAATAAAATTTCCAGAATTAAAAAATGATTTGATTCTTCGCGCAGCACGTGGTAAGTAAATTACTAAATTATTATGATTATATTGATTGATAAGAAATTTAATAGTTAATTATGATTTTTTTGATCAGGTGAAAAAACTGAACGTGCTCCAGTTTGGATTATGAGGCAAGCTGGAAGATATTTACCTGGTATAAACCAAATAATAATAATTAGATGATCTCATTTAATAAAAAAAATTTTTGTTTTAACATAAAAAAAATCTAGAATTTAGATCTATGCGTGAAAAATATGATTTTTTCACAATTTGTCGGACACCAGAATTGGCAACAGAGGTTACATTACAACCAATTAATAGATATGATGGATTATTGGACGCAGCAATAATCTTTTCAGATATATTGGTAATACCACAAGCTTTAGGACTAGTAGTTGAAATGTTACCTGGTAAAGGACCCAATTTCCCCGATCCATTGGTATTACCTGAAGATATAGATACAAAGCTAAAAGATGTGATCGATGTAAAAAAAGAGCTTGGATATGTTTTTGATGCCATCACAATGACAAGAAAAGAATTAAATGGTAGAGTACCTTTATTAGGATTTATTGGTGCACCATGGACTTTGATGGCTTATATGATAGAAGGTGGTGGAAGTAATACTTTATCTAAAGCCAAAACTTGGTTATTTAAATATCCCAATGAGAGTAAAAGATTATTACAAAAAATTACTGATGTTGCTATTGATTTTTTAATTGGACAAATCAAAGCTGGTGCACAAGTAAGAAGTATTTTTTTTAGAGGAAGGAAAACATTAATTATATTATTATAATTACATGCATTTAAATAAATATGCATTCATATTTAAACTCACTTTATTTATTTATTTATTTATTTATTTACAGATGGTTCAAATATTTGAATCTTGGGGAGGAGAATTATCACCAAATGATTTTAACAGTTTCTCATTACCATATCTTACTCAAATATCAAATGAAGTTAAATCACAATTAAAGGCAGAAGGACTAGTTCCTGTACCAATGATAATATTTTGTAAAGGATCATGGTATGCGTTAGAATCATTATCAGAAATTGGATATGATGTTATATCTTTAGATTGGACAATTGATCCAATTTATGCTAAGGAAATTACCAAAGGTAAAGTGACACTACAAGGCAATATGGATCCAAATGTATTATATGGCGATGTTGAAGCAATTAAATCCACTGTTGAAAAAATGTTGAAAAAATTTGGTACTAATCATAAATACATTGTGAATCTTGGTCATGGTATTTTGCCCACTGTTGATCCTGAATCAACCAAAATATTTTTAGAAACAGTTCATAAAGTTGGATTGGAATTAAATCAAATTAATTAAATTAATTCTTTTCATAATGATGGAAAAATAAAATCAATTATTTTGTTTATTTATTAAATTGTTTAAGATAATTTTGATCAAGGTAACAACAAAAAATTAGTTTTTTTACAAACAAGTAATTTTTTCATTTGACCAGGGGACTGTGAAGAGAGAAATTTAGTATTTTACTTTGTAAATTGTATTTTTTTTTGCATAGTAAACTGTATGATTGCTTTGTTGTTTAATAATAGTTTGCCCAGGAATTTTAAAAATCAGGGAAAGAATAGTTGCATCAAAACAACAACAATCATTAATGAACGAACAATTCCAACCTCAACTTCTACATCATCATCAAACAAGTTTGGAAAGGATTTGTTTAACTGCGAATGGAAACAAAGTATTACAAATAACATGACTTTTACATGATTTTTTTTGTCCAATAAAATAAAATAAAATAAAATAGAATGACTAATTGACAATTACTAATGTAAAATGTCAAAAATGCGTCATTGAGGATGTCATATGTTTTTTGTGAGCAAGAAATTATTTTGTCAATGGGAGAATATAATTAATTAAAAATAATAAATTTATATTTACTCGCTCATTTAAGATTCTTCATTGAAATATCAGATGGTAGTCAGCTTCAATTTGTGATGTTAACTCAAGCGTTGATGGTGATTTATCTTCATCTTAACTAGGAAGACCAACATCTACACCAAACTTTGTTTTTTAATTATCAGAGAATGATTTCGAGAATGATTTCCAAATAATGACTTAGGATTTAAGAAATTATACTATTAGAGATAGTCCGGACAATACGACAGCAAAAATCCACACTTAGTGGTGCTAGGAAATCATTCATCCTCATGTATTGGAGAAAAGATGATGAGTTTGGCTCATTAAATTTTGGTTTGAAAATATGGAAATGTGACTCTGGACACATTTGTATTACACCGATTCCATTCAACACCAATAAATGGCATAGAAGACTTTGATGAACCTTTCTTTGAAGTCAATACAGCTTTAATAGGACAGGCTTCTGGTTATTTAACTATACGCACTATACGTATAGTACTGATCTGCCCATCCCTAGATAGGACAATAACACCAGTTTCTGACGAAAATATTAATGTATTCAAACGGCGGAATGCCGCAAAAATCACGGAATGTGTATTTAAATACAAAAAAATACTATTACTATATTAATAATAATATTATTATACGATTTACGGAAAATGTAAATTTCCATATTAATAATTAGTATTAGTATTAGTATTAGTATTGGTATTAGTATTAGTATTGGTATTGGTATGGTTTCCGTTCGTATTCCATAAATCCCGTGTGTATTTCATGTGTGGTTCGTATGTATTCCGTACGCATCCCGTACTTTTTCGCTGGAAGAATCCTTATTATTATGGCAATTCCGGAAATACACAGTAACAGTGAATGCACTGTCTTTCTATAAGAATTTTTCATAGAGCAGATCATTTGGCTTAGGAAAACATGCCCATTGTAGGGAGAATCTGCTCGTTATATAGCAATATCTGTTATAGAGTAAGTGAACTGTGATGTTTAGAGAAAAATTTTATTTTGTATATATAAATATTTAAGTATTTATATAAAAAATCTCATTTGATGGTGATTTTGCATCAGTGAATAAAAGGAACTTTATGGAAGCCTTTGAAGATTGTAAAAGGACCATTTTTGTTTATTTATTTACAGTTACCCTTTACAGTCCAGCGTGCTTACACATTTGCCAAAGCTTTCTAGGTACAAGAAAGAGGCAAAAACCAAGGTAAATTCGTAGACTAATTAATTGACAAGCACCAATTTGCTTTCGATTAGTGGCCCCAAAGTTAAGCCATAATTATTAATTATTTTTTAATCCTAATTCATGATTACTGTTTTAGTTACATAAGTGGGTTTAGGACTCTGTACTTGGTTTGACTTGATAAACAAATTATTGATTTTAAAAGATGCGGATAAAATATTCTTAAAACCAGGGATGTTATCAGTCCTTTCGGGATCGGATTTTCCTCCATAACGGATTAAAATTTTGTCTTTTTTTACTATTTGAAATCTTTATGACAGATATTATTAATTAAATTTTGTATAACGTATACCGGATTGCATCTGAAAACCATTTCATTATGACCTATTACTATATTAATATAAATCAACGCTGTATATAACGGATTCACGTGATCTAAAAATAAAAAAATATGCAACCTCTACAAATTAATCTACCTACGATTATTTAAAATAAAACTTATGCTTATTTGAAATCTTAATAATAACAAATAACGATGATCCAATGTACTAACGTATATAAAATGTATAAATTGAATTTCTTGATTTAAATCCACCTTATCCAAGTTCTAAATTAATTTATTTGTTTCATTATTTTTTATAATGTTATTAAATAAGAGAAAATCTTTAACTGCTTTAGCAAAAAGAGAGGTTGATTTAGCAATGCAGATAACTCCGATTCCAACAAACAAATAATTGGCAACAACTTAAAGTCAAAAAAATAGGATTTAATGAATAAACACATATTAAAATTGCACGTGACTTCGTACATGTAATGATCAATGATTTTTATATACCGGCTCCTCTCTATAACTGATGCTTTTTCTAATAATAATAATAATTTATAATCCCAATGTCCGTTATAGAGAGTGTGAATCGCATGATTTTTTGTTGGGATTTGAGTATTGAATTATTGAATAAAATGATTTTGAATCGAAAATAATTTCAAAGCTACAGTATATTATTTGCCTGAAGGAGTACAAACTAAAGAAATTTGGAATAATTGAGCAATAGAAACTTACTATTTCCCTCGAAGAATGAAGACATATTATTTAATTATATACATATATGAAATAAAACATTGAAATATAAATACCAAGCCTTATACTATATTGACATTAGAACACTAGTTGAGAATTATAGTTGAACTCTTACGAGAAAAATTGATTCATTTGACAAAGAAAATGGTAGAGATTGAAAAATGAAAAGTTCAGAATACGTGACAGTAAGATTTATTGCTAAGAAACTTCAAAGTAGTTGTTTAAAAGACGTAGGCAAGGTATATAGTAACAATGACAACAATAATAAAATAAACAAGTTCTATGTACTTTGTTATTAATTTCTAATGCTGAGCCCAAGATTAACAAAAAGTAGGGAAAGTAAATAACAATGGGAGGGGCTTCTCTGGAAAAAAAAAAAAATAAGAAGGGCGGTGAACTAAGCCAACTGTCTAATGATCAAGAATTGGGCCAATAGAATAATTCTTTAAAAAATTGGCATGTCGCACACGCATCCTTGGCGACAAAAGGAAATAATAATAATAATAAGCCTTGGAAAATTCTTTAGAAAATTCCTATTATATATAAAAGTAAATGATTCGCAAGGTCCCCTAATTTGTTAGGAAGAATTTCCAGGGCTCTCTTATTAATGGTGTTCAATTCTTCAAAATTAGGAAGGATATCGTGTTACAGTTTATCTTGTTTCACTTATCTGTTGTTATTAATATTAACACACACTCTCCTTCATACATAACCCATATTTATTCCTGAAAATTTTAGTTGCGATTATATTTCGATCTTGAACAAAATTCTTTACTTATAAAAAGCAAATATCGACAAATAATTTAAAGAGCTTCTCTTATTATCGGTCAAATTCTTTTGAAAAGCGTCAAAACTTATGATGAGGAAAAAGTATAAAACCAAATTTCCAGTAGTATGTATTCCCCCTAACATTTCTAAATTTTCTAAATTGATTTAAATATATTACATATTAATATATTATAAACAAATAACAACAATATATTTATAATTTTCTTCTAATTTTTTTTATAAATATAAAGGCACGAATTAAGAAGATAATGCAAATGGATGAGGATGTAGGCAAAGTTGCTCAAGCAACTCCAGTATTGATTTGTGAGTTGAAGGAGATCTACTACGTCAATTCTTGGTTACGGCACGTGAGTTTTGAGGGTTTGGTTAGTTTGTATTTAAGTCAGTCTTAGTTTAACTAAACGAAAAAAAATTTTTCTCTCCCTCTCTTTTTTTTTTATTTTATATCGCAAATAATATAATTTTGTTAACAGCGAAAGCTTTGGAATTATTTATGCAATCGTTGATTGATCAAGCATGTCGAGAAACAAAAGCTAGAAATGCAAAAAGAATGTCGGTTTCTCATTTGTAAGTAATCCAAAGTTATGCATACATATATATATATATACAATTTTTTTTATAATTAATTAACAAACCTATATCGCCTAAAATAACTTGATATTTATTTTTTCTAAAACAGAAAGAAAACAATCATGGTTACAGAACAATTTGATTTCTTGAAAGAGCTTGTTGCCAATATACCAGATCCTGTGGACTCCTTCGAAGCAGAAGCTTCAACATCTTCGACAGTTGCTGGTGAAAATAGTAATAATATTAATAATTATGATGATGATATTGTTGAAAATGCGTTAGTAAGTGGTGATGAACCTGATGCATCAAAGTCACCACAATCACAACCAAGAAAAAGAAGAGGAAGGAGGAGGTAATGTACCCTTATTTTTTCAAATAAGAAAACTTACTGTTTTTATTATATTATTGTTATTATCTTTTAATAATATTAATTATTTGATTAATTAATTGAATTAAAATCAATTTTACGCATTTAATTAATAGAAATGTAGATGACGATGATTATGAGCCAACTCCAAGTTCTTCTGCAGCTCCAATAAGAACAAGAAGAAGGTGATAAATTTTTTTTTTCTTTTTTTTTTTGAAAATTATTATTGGTTTTATTATTAATTGTATTAATTTGATATTGACAATTTGAAAAATTTTTTAGCGTCAGGAGAAAAAAAGAAGTCGATGATTCATCTTAAGGAATTTAAAATTTATATAAATAAAATAATAAAATATGCATTAAAATCTTAATGTCATTCATTCATTCATTCATTCATTCATTCATTCATTTCTTTAATTTACGTAATGATTTCTGATTAGAGTTTAATATAATAAATAGTATGTATGCATGCATATATGTATGTTGAAATTCAATTCGAAATCTTTTAATGTACCTAAACCAGGAAAATATAGTGTAAATATTTTTGGTTGCACTGCGATTATGGTGTCGATCAAAAATTGAAAGCCTTCTAAAATATTTAAACAACAACCATCTTTACCGACGACCTCAAATAAAATTAATAATAAACCAAACAAACATTGCTGTGAATGGTTAATTTTGTTGTTTCATTTCATATAATTGAAATAATGAGCTAATTATTTATTATATACATATTAATATTATTAATCTAAACGAATCAGTAAATTACACCGTTTCATAACTGCCAGAAAAAAAGATATATCACTTAATCTTTTCTTGATTTTTTTTTAATTTTGATTTTACCATTCCAGTACTTACACATAGTTGCTTCTAGATCAATTCCAAAAAATTCTACTTACTGATCTGGAAGGTCTATATAATACTCAAATCTCCCACACAGCTTCTCTTCTAAAATTGTCCCTTCTTGATCAATTCTGTTGAACCGCCCACGTCTGTCTTCTAAACTCAAGTCATCTTGACCTACTTCAATGTAATACACTGATTTACATTATTTATAGTAGTAAAAGGTAAGATAATGAAAAAATATTCACTATGTATCAAAAAAATATTTAGTTTACTGGCTTATACAAAATGTAGACGCCTCCATTTGAAATTCACAAAAAGCTTTATTAGAGATTTTTTTTAGCAATTACATAAATCATACACAATATCTTTATTGTAACACCTATCTGGGATCTCTCTTTCTTCTTATACGCGAAATACCAAGATTTATATATTACCTAGAATTTCCAATTTAATATTTGGCTAAAGATATATCGACAAATAAATTAGTCCCAGTAATATATATATATATTCATCCTTTCGTCATTGAATGCTTTATTTCTTTTCATCCCGAAAGATTTTGTTTCTTTATAAGAATTTTTTTTATTTACTCATCCGTGCTGTTGCGATGAAAATTATTTGTTTAGTAACACGAAATAGAGGACATTATTTTTATTCAGATTCCCAAAATAGCTAGTAAAAATAACGGTCTTAATATACTTTTTTTAAGTTCTGTACATTTAAAAAAATTTTTGGCAGAAAGAACTTAATGTTAATATTGATGTTTATGTTTAAAATTAATATTAACATCAAGAAGTCAACTATATATACGCAATCATTTTCGTAATACCTAAAATTTCCTTTTTAAACAAAATACTAAGTTTATATGAAAACGTTGCACTAAATTAATATTTTGTTCTTACATTAAACATCTACACCATCATTTTCACATTTCATGAGATCAAAAACACTTATACTAGATTTGGATGAAACGTTAATACATTCTACATCAAGGGGTTCAAGATCAGATACACACATGATTGAAGTCATGGTAGATAATCATGCTTGTTTATATTACGTTTATAAAAGGCCATATGTGGATTATTTTTTGAAAAAAGTATTGATTTTTTCCTTTAAATTTTTTCCTTTGAAGGGATATATATCATGTTAATAATTAATTAATTAATTTATATATATGCATATATGTGTATACGTATTATAATTTTATTTTATAATTTTATTTTGACATTTTTATAGGTTAGTGAATGGTATAAAGTTGTTATTTTCACAGCCTCTATGCCTGAATATGCTGATCCAGTTATCGATTGGTTAGATCCTAATAAAGACTTAATATCGGATCGATATTTTCGTCAAGTACGAATGAATAAATTTATTTAATTATAATATTATTATAATATGCATATGTATATTTAATTTTAATTAATTGATTTTTAGTCATGCCTCAATCATCATGGAGCTTATATTAAAGATTTAACGATTGTCGAACCCGATCTTTCAAAAGTTTGTCTGATTGATAATTCACCTATATCTTATGCAATGCATCAAGGTATATATCATCTTATAATGATAATGATAATGATGATGAAATAATAATAATAATAATAATAATAATAATAATAATAATAATAATAATAATAATAATAATAATAATAATAATAAT